TTTTTTTTTTTTTTTTTTTTTTTTTTTTTTTTTTTTTTATTTCAAATTTCTGGTGTTTTTACAATTTTGACCTATAAACCTAGAATTAGCTACAACCATATTTCAACATAATGTTATTTCTAACCAGAAAAACAAACATGAACAATATGAACATTATTACAACCACAGCTACAAAATATTAGTACTATCATTACTAAACTGATTGTTACCATTTCAGCAACTCATAATTGTTACAATCGCACCACCACCTGCAAACGAAATCAATCCGGATGAAATCATAGAGAACATCACAATCAATAAAGGGCAACCAGCAAACAAGTGAAGTTCTAAAACACATTTGTAGAAGCAGTTTGGGAAAGGAAGAGAATTCAAGTGGGTAATATAACTCAAATACATCATAAAACTGATGGCATTGTGTTACCTAATGCCCTCTTTCAAATCCAATGCGACTTCTACCAGAGCTACCCCCCTGACTTCTACCAGAGCTACCCCCCTCATACCCCTCCCGCATTGACGAACCAGCACCAGCTCTCATTGTCCCACCCGACCCAACCTTGTCCATAGCCTTCTTTCCTTTCTTCACTTCGGTCAAGAATTGATCGAGTCCAAATGGATCGGCTTCTTCTACCTCTCTCTCGAACTCAACTGGCCTATCTCTAGGTCCAGACCTTTCTGCAGTGCCTGAAAACGACTTGTCTGGTTTGAAGCGATCCGTCTTCATTATCTTGTCTAACTGTTCATCAGCGCCGCCGTACATCTCAGAATCAGCATCCTTTTTAGGTCTGTAAAGAGTTGAGAGAGTGGGCTGAGCAGTAAATAAGCCCTTGTCGTATATATTGTACTGGTCGTCGTTTGCGAATCCGGAGTCCATTCCTTTATCTTGGTTAAATAGCCTCTGGTCATACATAACCTCTCCCTCTCTACCTGCTCCAGTAGAAGCCATGCCAAGTGCAACCTTCTCGCTGATATCACGATCTCTGTCTCTTGTGATCTTACTCTTCTTTCCCATTGCTGCATCCTTAGCCTCCAACCTTCTTTCCCTTTCCCTCTCACGACGTCGTTCTTCACGAATCTTCTCCCGCTGCAACCGCTCTTCCCTTTCCTCCCTTGTCTCCTTTGGTAAATCCTTCTCCTTTTCTCGTACACGCTCAAACTCGCCTTTCATCTCAGAGGTATCTACTGTGTCTCTCTCAGATGGATAGGGAATTGTAGGAGGTGCAGCTCCAGTTCTCTCAGACCGGGCTTTCTGAGCTAATGCTCGAAGCTCCAGCTCCTTCTTCTCCTTCTGCTTCATAAGCATTTCTTTCTGAACCTTAGATCTCATTGCAACAGCTTCTCTTGCTTTCTGCTCTGCAACATACAGAGCTTCAGACAGCTTTGCGAAGTTATCGTTAATTTGAACTTCTTGAAGGCCTCTTCCATCAGCTGCAAGTCGCTTGTCAAGTGGGATTGTATAACCTTTTGGATTCTTCCAATTTGAAATACACGGTGGAATCTTCCAATCCTGCTGATCCTTCACGGTGACAGGACGAGGAGGGGAATGCATAACAGGCACAGGTGGGGACCCCGAAGCTCTAGGAACACGTTTATGCTTGAACTTTGGAGGCTCGAGTGGATCAACTGGCATCTCCACCATTCTAATTATTCTCTCCTTGGCACCTGAATTAAACGCAGCTGATTGTTGAGATGGCTTATACTTGATAAACTTCGAATCCGAGGAATGTTTGGCAACATTTTTAGGCTGCGCTGCACTCAATCTCACATTAACTATCTTTTCAAGTGCAGACTTCGTTTCCTCGGTTGTTTCTTCAATCTCTTTCTGCAACTCTTCGTCTTCATCACTCACTTCATCATTTTTCAAAATCTTTGGAATGAGATCTTTATGTTGCGAATACACAATCTTTTTAGCATTTTCATTCTGCTTGACAATAGCATCATACGCAACATTCCCATGAGCATCAACTGTAATAGGAAGGATCTTGGATCCAGGCTTCGATGATTTGTCTCTACCCATATCAAGTGGGTATTGAGCAATGTGAATCTCTGGAAAAGCACCACCATCTCCAAAATCCTCTACTTTCCTTGGAACAAACCCACCACGCTTCAAGTAAGGCGGCACCGGATTTGCCTTGACAACAGAAGTTTGCTCTGCTTCTGAGGAACTAAAACGCTGCTTGAACCATGGATCACTGGAATGATCATAGTGAGTTACAGTGGTTGACTTTACAGCAGGAAGAAGGTCTTTCAGAGTTGCCATGACTTTTAACTACCTAAAAGAATCAGCAGAGCTAGTGAAAACCAATTGTTTCAAAAAACATGCTCTTAACCATTGAAGGTAAGAAAGCTAACAAACACCTTGATCCAAAATAACCCCAACCCAGAGGTTGATATTGCTGAAAATTAAGAATTAACATCTCATACAAACAAGAAGGCTTGAAATTAAAGAAACCCAATTAAACTCTAACCTAAATAAAATAAAAACCAAAACAATAAATTACAACTTCGAACGGAAAAGAAAGAAAATACGGTGCAGCAGCTAGATTTGAAAACCTCCGAAATCCTTCATATCCATCAAGATCGAGAGAGAGAGAGAGAGAGAGATGTTTACCTCAAAGTCGCAGCAGATGCAGAGTAAATTAGCCCAAAACCACAGAGTGAAGCGGTTCGGATATGCGAGAACTCGGCCAAAAAGTGAGATTGTCTAGTGAGAGGGATTGTTGGACGGCGGGGACTGCAAGAGCGAGAGACGACTGTGGAATAGATAACGGAGGTTCGAGTAAGTAGCTGATAGAAAGCTTCGAATGGGCTCAACGGCGGATCGAGCGAAAGGGGAAGAAGAAATTGGGAAGTTTTGATTTGCAAAGATTGGATCAAAAAGAGAGGGTTCGAGGGAGAAGCGAAAGGGCAAACGGAACTTAGGGCTCGAACGGGGGAAGATATCGGGTCGAACCGGATGACTGTCAAATCCGAGAATTTGGTGTTCGGATCGGGTCGGGTCGGGTCGGGTCGATATGGATTCATCCTCTAATCCTCTTGTATTCATTTGGGTAGGGGGTTTAGTGGATTGAATTAGAAATTAATTTAAAATAAAATAAATATAAATTGTATCACCAACAAAAAAATATATATTATTTTTTAAAATTAACAATAAATTTTGATTTATTAAGTTTAATCTAATATAATTTAAGAAAATTCATGAATTAATACAATCTATAAAATTGAATTTTCATATAGTTGAACTCACATCCTAACTTGAATACATTTAAATCATTGGACCACTTTGTACTCACATATCTCATACAAAACGCTCTCCGCTCCTAATTTTGTTAATTGTTGGAGTGATTTTGCTATATTTTTATTAATTTTGTTTATGAATTCAAGAACATGTGAGATGGAAGATTCGGACTTCTAACATCTTTTTTAATAACATATGTTTTAATCAATCGAGTTATGTTCATGATAATGATTTACGGGAAATGAATTAGATGAAGCTAAAACTAGAATAAAAATCAACTTGAATTTGAAAGAAAATCGAAACCCACGTCGAAATGATATTTCTTTCATGGGAGTTAATTGAAATCAAAATCGAATTTCAAATTAGGAAGTTCTAGTAAATGTCATCCATCGTAATGAAATTTTAGTTCTCATTCCGTCTTAATGTAGATGCGTCTTAAGGTTGGTGGAACAACTTTTTTTTTTTTTTTTTTAATGGAGGAATTCAAAAAGTAAGAAGGAGATCTGTACATTCATTTACTTATTTATAAAAACTTATAAAGAAAAAATTGTTTTCCATTTATCTTTATCAAACTTAGGATCATGGCTTGTATAAGATGGAGTAATAATGAGATGCAAAGTATTTAATTAGTTTTTATTTAATAATTTGAAAAGTTAGGTTCGAAGGCTTGGAATATGTAAGGTTAGGATATAAAGTGCTAACATATTCAAAAATGAAAAATATTTTTTTTTTACTTATTTTTAAATCAAAGAGGACTAATTGAATTTGTAAATTATGTATAACGATAAATTAACCCCAATTCATGCTTTTTTTTCAGATTTTAAAAGACCTACCAATCTATTAACTTAAGAACTCTAAGATGCAATCCAGTTTTTCGGTGTTTAAGTTATAATTTGAATGCTCCAAGATAACTGGGAAAAGATGTCCTGAAAATTTGAGGACCTCAAGCGGTTGATTAAACAAACCTAAAAACAAACACATTAACACTGAAAAAGAAAACACGAGACAAATCTACCCATTTGAATCAGATTCAATGTGCCAGAGAGGGTAATAAAAACGCTTTTAACTACTTTAGGCTGACTTTACAACGACTACGTTCCAAAATAATTCATCCGTTATCTTAACAAGAATTAATCTGAGGCGGAGAAAATCCGAGTGGGTGCGAATCTGCAGATCAATCAGTTCAGAGCCTGAAGGTACTGTAGCCTCCTAACCCAGAAGATCCATATCCACCATATAATTGTGAAGATAAAGAGGATGAAGTATAGGATGAACCTGCAGCATCCAACTGGGAGTAAGAAGACCTCATGCCTGAGGTGTCTAGCCTGCCATAGCTGCTGCTTGTTACTGGTTCCTTGGGAGCACTTACTGCTTCCTACAAGCCAAAAAGAATCGTAAATATGTAAACATTACCCTAATTTTTTATCATCAACAGATAAGTCATAGAGCTATTTGAGTTGGGATATTCTTGAGGCGGGAGAATCACAATCCTTTTCTATCTTAAACATGTATTTGATGCTGAGTAAGTAATGTTTTGTTTTTAAAACACTGACAAAAGACAGCTTAAGCATCCGTTCCAGCTATTTTTAAATATCTAGAACAGGGTACAACTGCTCCCAATTTTTAAGTAGTGGAAAATGTTGCATTGAGATAACAAATCTCCATTAAATTCAATTTCAAGTTTATTTTTAGACTTCAATTCAATTGACAATAATCATCACCAAACTTATGCACCACTAAACAACAACGGTAAGCATGGGTGAACTTTGAAAGCAACGAGTTCTATGGAGCATTTGAAAGATACTAGATCTATGTTACAAATAGGCTCTTCTCTCCTCTCCCCTCTCCTCTCCCCTCTCCTCTCCTCTCCTCTCTCCTTTCTCTCGCTCTCTCTCTCTCTCCCCCTCTCTTAGTGATCCACAATGATACAAAAAACTGTCGAGTCTAGTGAGGCTAAAGCTTTGGCCAAGGAGAGAATTACAAAATGTAATAAAAGTAGCTTTATGCAAGACGTGAGAAACAGAGTACCCCATCACAACTCTATCGACCACATACTAGCTCTTAACCACCAAGTTATAAGTCAAACGGGAAACTTAAATATTACCTGAATTAATTGTTGAGCCATCTGAACTTGTGATGAAGTGCCTTTTATTTCCACAGTGATCTCGTCAGGTAATCCCCTGCTCTCTTGTATGGTTAAGATGGCACCACTATTGCGACGGATGAATGCAATATTTGTTCCTCCAACCCCAATGATGTCCTCAGCATAAGATAACGGGATCTGCATTGTCTGAGTAACCTGACAGGAACCACAAGGAGGTCACTTAATCAGATATAACAAACTACAAAGACATGACTCTGTAACTATCCTGTCCCCACTGCCTCCATTCAGTTATGCTAAAATCTATAATACTTGTATGCATATGCTAAATATTTTGGACCTAGTGTTTCCAAGACAAGATGGACATGTAAACTGAGAAGCTTCTAGCTTGCCTGGACCTGAAGATGAAAAACAAATCACCTAATTGTAATAACGGACATGCAATGACTGAATGGTCTTCTGGAGGTCAGCAGGTGAGGAAGTTTGCCACCTCACTAAGTCAACATAGACCATTTCCTTCTACCAATAACTGGATAAATGAGCTACACATACCAACCTGAGTTACAATAGGTCCCCCAGAGCGACCAACACCCGATGATCGAATTGTAGGAAGTACTCGCTCTTGCCCATATAGAGAAATACCAGAGGATGGAATATAAGAATCAAGATAAGCTTCTCGGTCAAGATATAGGGATTCTCTTTTTGTAGATGAAGGATACTCGGCAGAGATCACACTTTGAGATGAAGTAAGAAGTGAGGACTTGTCAGCCCAGGCATCCATTTGGCGATCTTGTGAGGGAGGTATATTAAACTAAAAAAAAAAAAAGTAGCAACAATTCATTACCAGTCCTAAAATATGGTAAAAGAAAAAGGTTGGTCACAGATCTAACAAGAAAAAACTTAACACTTTTTTCAAACAGAGGAAGAACACTACGATCAACTAAAAACTTCCTTAGGTGGCCCACCACTGCCTCTAGGGCCTTGAGAACCTTTAAGGATTCTCCCTGCAATTCAACCATTCTCTCGTCTGCACCAGCATAGAACGGCATCTCATCTGCAAGCATCAAATGTAGATGAATATGGGAATGTTCAGAGAGCACTCATGGATGAATAACACTAGGAGGAAATGTATTATTATCTCGGGACATTATTAGTTACATGTCCTGCTGACTGAAGCTCAAGGCTTGAAGTTAATAGTCATCATGCTTGGTCACTTTGTTTTATAACAATATAATTGAGGTAAAAAATAATTCTTATTTTATCTAGCTATTGTCATGTACTTTTTCTTTTATAGGTCGTTTTTATCATGTATGAGCAAGAGAAAGACGTCAGTGAATCACAATAAGCATGCTTCTCTAAGATGACCAGATAAAACTCAAAACTCAAGAATGAAACTATACTAAATCCTCCAATTTTGAAGAGACAGTTTATGTTCTCATTTGCATATAAATTCATTAAAAAAAATAAAGTTAGCAATGGGGTCTCTTTAAATGAAAGGTCTCACACGTTACATTTTCCTAATGCTACAAGGCTCAAAACACAGGCAAAAAGTTGAAAAAAAAGAACTGAACTTTCATTGAAAAAAAATGAAAGAACATTAGAGCATCTAAAAGAACCAAACCCAACAAAGGAGTGGGTTCCAATTAAGTAAATAAAACGTAAAGAATAATTACAAAAAGTCTTTTTGCCCAAAGAGAAACAAAGAACCTAACAAGGGGTCCCTCACAACTTCCCTAAAGATCCTATTATTCCTGTCACCCCATAAGCCTCACAACACAACACAAACTCCTGCTTGCCACAAAAACCTCCCCTTCTCTTGAAAAGGTGGATGGAGAAGGAACTCAACGATCGTCTCCCTGTAGCCTTTGTGTCCAGCAATAAAACTCAACAAAATCATATTTCTAGATTCAAATTTTGTTTGGCAGCAACTTTGATGAAGTAATGGGGATAAAACTCACCAGAACAAAGCTGCATCCAAGGGATTGAGGCAAATAATTTTCTAATCACCATACCTTTGAACTATTGTAGCTGATGTCTATTTGTTTGCTTGTTTAATATCCCTAATGCAAGTTGGAAGTTTTTCCAATGCAAGAAACCGAGCTTTCATTGAGAAAAATGAAAGAATATAAAAGGCCATACAAAAAAAAAATAAAAAACAAGCTCAACAACCGACAAGAATATGCTCCAATTCAAAAGAATAATACTAAGCTAATAATTACCAAAAAAAAAAGCCTAATAAATGGAACACAAGCTCTAAGGTTGGGACAAGCAATGTGAAACATACAATGGACAACACCTTGATTGCTATTTGGACCATAAAAGTATTAGGAGATCTCATTGAAGATAAACCCCAGTCCTTGGAATTTCAAAATTCAATGGTTAATATGGTCACTGAAAATTAAAAAGATTGGGTGGAGGGTAGGGGGCTACTTTCTGAAGGGTCAAGAAGTACTTAATCTGGACCTGCTAAGATCCCAATTACTTATCTTTATTAACCCAAATTGCCTATAGTGAGGTAGCACTTGGTTAATAGGAAGACCATGGAGCTCGGGAGTCTTGTAGGAAATATCAAGATGGAAAACATAAGATCAATTTCTGTGGATATATACCTGCCTATACCTTTGGCATAAGGTGGTTAAAAGCAAGTATTCGTTCACCCCAGCCTACTCCCTCAAAATGGGGGATGGTAGAAGACAGGGGGAAGATTGATAGAGGATGATTGTGTTTTGCAGTTTTGTTTTCAGTTTCTTAGATTTGATTTAATATCCTAGCTCTCGGACTATTGAGGTGAATGCCCAGTGACAAAGCTTGGAGGCTCATGTCGTGCCTAGGCTACTGTTTTCAAATCGCATGACACACAGTATCCTTCTTTAAAAAATACAAACTTTCATAGTGCAACTGAAAGAATATACAACGTGCATAAGAAAAATGTTAAGCCCTTTGAGCAAGGGAGAACCTTTTCAGTGGAGTACAAAATTAAAAAAAATATATTAATAACATTTTTTTAACATATGAAAATGTATAGTACACAAATGATGGGGGTACGAAATTTTTAGAAAGAGAATGAGAGCTTTTGTAAGAGATTGACTAAAAATGGGGGTCTATATTTTCCTTTATTTTTTAAACAAAATATATATATATATATATATATATATATCACTTATGCCGCATAAGCACACACCTTTTAATCACTAGCAAAGGGTGAATCCGATGTCTCATGGTGATGTCAACAAGGTTAACTGACCATGTGCGATGTGGACAGTAATATGCTAAGTCAGCATGACACTTGTTGGGCATGCCACCTATATCAATCAAGTTCACATGTGTGGTGACAAGACTGCTGCCAACCTGGCAATAACTAAACTGATTTAGGCATTATCACTTCGACCAAAAAGTCAAAAGTTCAAATCATCATCCCCACACATCATTGAACTCAAAAAACAAGACAAGGCTTGTAGGTCACCAAGTGTGTGTGCACATTCAATAACCCCAAAGGATTAAACGATGGTAACGGGTGACCATTGCCATGTGAAACGAGGAACAAGAATTAGCTTGCAGCTAGGCAGACAGTGAGTGCGAGCTAGGGAGACCATGGAGCTCTGGAGTCTTGTAGGAAATATCAAGATGGAAAACATAAGATCAATTTCTGTGGATATATACCTGCGTATCTTTTAAAGAAGAGGCTTTTCTTTAGGGAAAAAAGGGAAGGTACATTTAGCTCAATGGTAAAAGGTAAAATGTGATCCCTATTAAGGCTAGTGATTCTTATTGATATTTTCTTCAAGGACTTACTATCTAGTCATTGGGACCCTGCTCTTTCAATAAGAGACTCTAATTATTTATATGGAAAGGGGCCGAGCACTGCTCTTTCAGTATCCTGTTCCTATGCACTATCAAACTCTAACTCTTACACAGCACAACTTTTGAGGTTGCAATCTTGCAATGAGACATCCCAAATTTCCACTTCTTCCAAACATTTGATCCCAAAATTATGGGTGAAACAAGCAATTCTTCCTAACCAAATCACTTCTCTAGTCGAATAACTGATCAATACGAAATTGGACTAAAATGAAAGGGGTTTAGGAATAAGGGTTATGGTGTATCTTATCAAAAACACTAAAGTTAATAATGCTCAGGATAGTTCTCTTGCCAAAATCAAAGCTTAGTACGCTGGACAGATTTTTATCAGACCCATTTGCATTTCTCACAATAACGGGGGTCTTCTATTGATTCCCTTGGATCTTTTGTGGCATTATTAGTCCTTAGAATGATCCTTCTCTTGCAGAAAGGTTTTGGAGGTTCTCTAAATAACTGCCTTTCTCTAAATAACAGCCTTTCTGATACTCTATAACTTAGCTATCTGGTAGATTTCATGATCTTTGAAAATAGTACAGCTAGGCTCAAAATCAATCAATAAAAGAGAATGGCAAGTGCATAACAGAAAATGAACGCATACCTCCTGATAATACTCTTATAGAGGCTCCTGTACTCTCCTGTATAGATTTGATTAATGAACCCTGCTTTCCAATTAGATTGATTGCTTGAGTTGATGCAACCAGTAGCCGAATTGAACAAAATGAGGTTTTAGCCTCGTCTTCATTCTCAGAAAATAAGAACACACGTTTGAAGACTCTTATAACTGCATCCATAGCAGGGGAAAGGGGTGCCTCAGGGTCTTCTTTTCCTGAAATTAGCACCTGAAGTAAACTTCCAAACATTAAAAACTGAACGTACAAGTTTGAACAAGACCTCCTACTTCAAAGAAATTGCCAAAAATGCATCCAAGTGTTCTTGCAAATCAAAGTGAAGCATCACAGAATTAAAACGTAATTGCACCAGCCTCTTATAAGGAAAAGCTATGCCTCTCTTCTATATATTACAGTTCTTCATTGAACCTAATCAAAATCATTTGGGCACTCCTGAAAGTACATAGTGTATAGTCTAAAAAAACCAATTACATGTCAACATCTTCTAAAATTTACAGGACAATCAAGAAGTGCCTGGTCAATATACAAAATGAAGTTCAAAACAACCTACAGAAAAAAACATTCTTTATGGAAGTTAATAGTCAGATTACTGTCATGTTTGGCCTCAAGTATTGGATTTTTTCTCAATGGAGAACAGAGCTTTCATTGAGAAAATTGAAAGAATACAAGAGTATAAAAGAAAAAAGAAAAAGAGACAGCCCAATAAAAGAAGCCAAAACAAGATCTAGACTAAATACACACACACAAAAACTCCACTCCATAAAAATCAAGCCTAACAAAAATTACAAAATTACGCCTACTTTGGGTTACAAGAGGCTTATGCCACCATGGAAAATGCTTCAAGTTTTTACTCCTAAAGAAGTGACTCAAAGAACGATATCAAGTTGTCGTGTTCTTAAAAAATATAAGAACTTACATCTGCATTTCAAACCAATGTACAAAGAATTAATCTTCCAAGAAAAATGGACGGAAATCACGCTTCCGTTAATAGAAATGAAAGAATATACAAGTGCATGCAAAAACAAGCTCAAAAAAAAAAAAAAAAGAGTCTTAACCCTAACTACAGAAAAGGGCTCAAATCCAAAAGAATAAGACCAAGCTCATAAGTATAAAAAAACGTAGTGAAAGACACAACCAAGGAGGCATCAAACATAGCCACCTCCTAAACCTCCCCACCTGATCTCTCCACCTCTCTAAAGATTCTATTATTCCACTCGCACCAATGTCCCACAAAATTGCACAAAAGCTAGAACTTCTCCCTAAAGGAAGAATTCAGAAGCACCTCCTCCATTATAGATCAAGATTCAATTGAACAACCAAAAAAAGGTTTAACATAAGCTCCTTTTGTTCCCCAATAAGTTCAATTGATATTCTAGTTAACCTAATATACAGAGATTCTGCGGCTTCTGTTAAAGAATTAGAAAATAACTTGTTATGACTAACTACTGTGAAATCCATGGAACCAACCAACGATGGGAGACTGATCTCTCTTTTTTCCCCCCGAAACCTCGGGACCCAAAAATGGAGATTGCTTTTGACTCGAAAAAAAAAACAGGTACCAGAGAGAGGTCAGGTTAAAAGAAACACTCACAACACGATCAGGAGTGCCAACAGCACCATCAAGAACACGAATTCTAGCCCTAGTTTCCTCGCACATCTTCTTGATAAGATCGCCCTTGCGCCCAATAATGCTTCCAACTTTAACGACCGGTACAATAAGCCGAAACACGCAGTCTCCGGGCCATCCGGGCCACTTTTTATCGGAAGCGTCGGTATGGTTGGGGCTTTCATCATGGTCTGCAGAATCCGAAGCCGGGGCAGACAAGTAGTCTTGGTTAGAGGGATCGAGGTCGGATTCAGCGCCACCGGCTTCCATAGAGTCTGGTTCTGCAGCAGCTACAGAGGCAAGTGGGGAGCTTTCGGGGTTGAAATTGAGGGCGTTGGCATCAGTGGAGCCATTATCTGTAGCTGTGTTGGTGGCCATCGAGAAAGATGAAGAGTCTATTGAGTTAGGGTTAAGAGTTGCAGAGGTTTTAAGAAAATTAAGGAAGAGAAAGGGAAAAGAGGAAATAAATTCGTTAATTAATTTTAATTTATATGTAAATTACTTTTATCTTTTTAATTTATTATTCATCAATTATTAATTTATTTTGTAAATGCTAAAAGAGATTAAAATATTACGATATATCAAATATTCGAGAAGGTTATTAGAATGAGTTTGTTAGAGAGAAGTTTCACTATCTTTAAACGAGTGTTTTGTTATCCTCTCCAAATGATGTGGGATCTCATAATCCACTCTATTCTCTTCTCTAATCGACGCGTGACTCCCAAATTCACCCCTTTCGGGTCCAACTGCCTTATGTCTACCCCTTCGAAGCTCAGTCTTCTCACTAAAACATCGCTCGGTGTTTAGCTCTGATACCATTCGTAACGACCCAAGCCCACCGTTAACAAATATTGTCCTCGTTTTTAAAACGTGTTTGCTAGGGAAGGTTTTCACACGTTTATAAATGGGTGTTTTGTTCTCCTTCTCAACCGAGGTGGGATCTCACACTTAATCCAAATAAAACATAGGACACGAACTAGTCTTACAAACCTAAAAACGTCAGTAAATTTAAAAAATAAATAAATTAACCAAGTTCAACTAAACCCAAACCTATACCTTGATTAAAATATTAACATTAATATCAATGTCATAACTTCACTTTTACGGATACATTGATAAAATGTTAACGTCGACAAATATTTTATTTTATTTTGTAAATAAACGAATTATAAAATTATTTAAATTAATAATTATGTAATGTTTGATGACAGTTTTTTACTTTTAAATATAGGTTGGTTTCCTTCCAAATAATTCGTTTATTTGAACACTCCACGCGCGCCCGCGTGCCAATCCTTTTCTAGAGGTTACGGATTCATTTTGCCGACTTCCCTTGCCTATATTGTTCCACTAACCAAAGACTGTTCACCTTAGAGACCTGATGCGATTATGAGTACGATCGGGCGTGGGAGGCACACGATATTCCAGATTTTCAAGGGCCGTCGGGGCGTCAGGGGCGCACCGAACACCACGCGAAAGTCTAATTTTTTTTATTTTAATAAACTTATATCTCAATATTAATGTACATCGGTCCTATTGAGATTAATACATGGTTTTTATTTTATGGGTGTTTATTATCAAAGCATCTACAAATATTTCAATCCTTGACTGCACCCTAACCACATGCTTAAAAAATCGAGCCAACTCAACCCTACACTCCAACTGTATTCACCTCTCATATACATTTATTTTGTTCGTTCAACAAATTAAAGTCAAATATTCAAATTTCTAACATCTCATTGAGTTATGCTTAAATTGACATATAATAGTATTAGATCAAACACGAATAATTCATCAACGAACAAATCAATTGATCGACGACTTATCCAAATCAAAGTCAAAAGGCATGGACCAAAAATGGATTCCCATGCTTTTGCCCATAATTTACAATACTTTATATTATAAATTCAAAAGGGGAATGGGTTTTAATTTCCATCATAAGAAAGGCCAAAATGGGATAAAACCCATAGCATCCTTCCAACCTCCAAATCTTTTATCGAAAACGAAACAATTTTTGAAACTCTCTCGTATCTTAATAACTATTCATCTTATCGAACCCATATGGATCTCGAAAAATTATTTATTTAAACCTTCAACGATCTTGAATAGAAGGAATATAATCAAATGCTAGTAAGTACAAGACAAGGTACTCCTCCGTATGCAGCAGATAAAACAAATATATAATAAGAATTATGTTATCCATTGGTGATCCGTAGATAACGTAATTCTATAAGGATATTTGTATAAAAAAATAACTTTTCTTTTCCGTTAAAATATTGTGTTGATTCAATGTATATTTAAATAATTTATTTATTATTTTAAATATTACAAATTATCCTTGACATTTCATAAATATTTCAAAACTACGGTATAACTCACCGTTAAACACAAAGACCTAAATCATTATATCAATCTTTCAAACTTTTCTTTTGTGCTAAAAAAATACGTTTGTTTCTCAATTTAATGAATGCGAGTTGATGAATCTTTGATCTTCAACAATATAACGAATATCTTAGAGTCCGAGCTATTGGTAGCTCCTAATTAGGTTATTAAATCCCGGGATGATATATATTTTATTTATTTATTATTTAAAAAATTGGTGAATGGGAGAGAAGATAAAATGTGAGAGGTGCATGAGAGAGTGAATTAAATGAGTAGGGCTGTACAAAGAGAATGAGCCAATCCCAAGAACCACACCCTTGTCCTTATCCATTTCAAAGATAACCTTTTTTTTTTTTTTTTTTTTTTTTTTTTTTTTTTTTTTTTTTTTTT